TAAATATTTATATGAATGCTAAATTATATATGTGTATCATATATATATATATATATATATATATATATATATATATATATATATATATAATTTGTGTATCCATATCAATATATCATATATGTGAGTCTTAGCTTAGTATTATTTGTAAATTATTATTATATAAAAATATAATTTTTTATTATTATTATTTTTGTTTTGATTACTATATTATTCAAAAATATGATAATTCAAAAGTATCATCACTTTAAGAAATTGCAAAACATAATTTTAACTAATTTTTTAAATTTTGTTACTTACAAATATTTTAATATTGGGCATAAGTTTTCGCGCATCGCGCGTACAAAATGCTAGTTTAAGTAATAAGAGCAATAAAGTGGGAAAATTATGATGTGGAACCGTGTCCACCTTGCAAGGTGGACACGGTTCCAAAACTGTTCATAATTATGAATATATAGTTCAAAAATTATGAACATATAGTTCTATAATTATGAACATAGAGTTGTGAACATAATTATGAATATAGAGATTCAATAATTGTGAATGTAAAGTTAAAAAATTATGAATATATAGCTTTATAATTATGAACATATAGTTTAGTAATTATGAACATAGAGTTCTGTAATTGTAAATGTAGAGTTCAATAATTATGAATATGAAGTTCAAAAATTATGAATATATAGCTTTATAATTATGAACATATAGTTCAGTAATTATGAGCATAGAACTGTGTTCACATTGCAAGGTGGACACAATTCCACAGCATAACGATTGAATAAAGTGGCGTACATACTTTTCGTCCACAATAATGAAATCATTGATTTTTTTTTTTTTAAATTTCCATTCGTTGTTGAGACAAATTGTTTTGAGAGTTTGTCAATGACAATTGCTGTCAATAGATGATGATAATAAATAATTCAAAATATAAGGTTACAATAGATATTATTATAATAATATAGTAAAAATTAACTTACAAATTTCTTTAGAAGTTTTCACGCATTGATAAAAGCATAATTGAAATATTAAGTTTTGTTTTCAATAATAAAAAGAAGATTAATTAAACGAAGAAAAAAAAAATTGAACTTAAATTTATTATTTTTTTAATGAAAAAAAATCAAATGATTATCAAAGTTCCTGGTTTATAATTATTGAATGCTATGTATATAGTCGGATTTGACCAAAGTTTATGTTAAATTTTATATTTTATTTTTAATACATTTTAACATATTCATAGTATATGTTTAACAATTATGCTAACTTTAATTGGAATGAGGTTCGGACCTAAGACCTTTCTTATAGAAATTAATGAGTAAGTTAAGAATAATAAATAGTTAATGGAATATTCCGTTAATAAAGTTTATACTAACGGAATTTAAGGTCATTTAAGGAAAGAAAATAATATAATAAAGGATAAATAAGGAAAATCATTAAAAATACTAAAATCAAAATACTATGAACCATTCATTTTAAGAAACAAAGTAGTACCGACATTTTTTTTATTCCAGTTAAGGGCCTAACATTATTGGCTCTTATTAGAATTGTAGATGTAGATTTAATTGGAATGAGGTTCGGACCTAAGACCTTTCTTATAGAAATTAATGAGTAAGTTAAGAATAATAAATAGTTAACGAAATATTCCGTTAATAAAGTTTATACTAACGGAATTTAAGGTCATTTAAGGAAAGAAAATAATATAATAAAGAGTAAATAAGGAAAATCATTAAAAATACTAAAATCAAAATACTGTGAACCATTCATTTTAAGAAAAAAAGTAGTACCGACATTTTTTTTATTCCAGTTAAGGGCCTAACATTATTGGCTCTTATTAGAATTGTATTGTATTGTAGATGTAGATGTAGATTGTAGATGTAGATGTAGATGGTAGATGTAGATTGTAGATATATATATATATATATATATATATATATATATATATATATATATATATAGTGTTGCGCTCGGTGTAAACTAGTCTTAACATGTGCACATGTAATCTAATGAATGAATTCACTGCAATTAGTACATGAATGCACAATAATGGGCACTAATGCATTGCAAGGTATCTATGCGTCCCTATGCATGTTTGGGAGCCATTACAATGTCTTCGTGTATTAATTGTGATGTATTCCGATCCTTTAATAATTTGCAGGTTCGCATGTTAGAATTGGTTAGTCTTTGAATATTGGTCTATATATACTACGGAGTATATAAATGTGTTTGAGAGCTCTCGTTGGAGTTTATCATGTAACTAGTCTTTTTCATGCGCGATGCGCAAAACTAAGCGCCCAACATTAATATTCAATGTTAAAATCATAGTTATAATTTTTAAAAAAATAAAATTTTATAATTTTTTAAAAAATTCATAAAATTTATAGTTGTAGAATTCATATTATATATTAAAAAGTATATTTAAATTATGGTATGATTAATAATTTATTTATTACATATTCTAATATAATGAGTTTGTTTGGCAATCAGCGGTAGCGAATTGTTTTAGCGGTTAACGAATAGTGGATTGTGTTAGCAGGTTTGACCAGCAGATTGTAAAAAAATATTTGGTAAAATTAGCGGTTAACATGTAAAATGACCAAAAGGGTATACATATAATAATAATAATAATAATAATAATAATAATAATAATAATAATAATAATAATAATAATAATAACAAAAAAAGATGTAGGATTACCCACATCATTAGTTAAATAAAAAAGGGGCGTCGGCTCCCTTTTATAAAAGGGAGCTCAACGCCCCTTTAATTGTAATGTTCACCTCTTGCCCATCCGATGCCACTCATACATGGCATGGGCAAGAATAGAGAAGCATGAGGCTTCTTATATTACATTGTAATTTTTTAAAAAAATAAGTTGGAGGGTGTTTTGGGAAAGAAACTTTTCTTTCCTAAAACGCCAACCCAACAAGCTGCTAAATGTAACGTGTTGAATTTCAACGGTTTGGAGCAATTCGTTGTTAACCAAACAGTGATTTTAGCGTTTTGACCATGGCCAAAACGCCAAAGTTAGCGGATTCGCTAATAATTAAACATGCCCAATATCTACATATATTATTACAATTAAAGAATGTATGAAAACATATGGTGGATGTAAATGAATGATAATAGTAATGAAAATAGATAACGGAAGTTATAACAATATGAATATTGTTGTCCTAGTACAACATTTATAGCTTAATGTATCAAAAAAGATAATAGAAAAACGGACATAAATGAAGGGTACCAACCTTCATTCACACTTATTAGATTTTTAGATTTAGATTTGGACCCTAAGGGTTGAATCACGATATAATTTGAGCCGGTTAGGGGGAGATTTTGAAGGAAAATACTACATGTACTCCCTCTCACACATTCTTGATGTAGACATATTTCTTGGGACTCACATGATGAAAATATCTCATATTTATGTCAGAGTAGAGTAGAATTTGGGAGTACATGTACTATAAGAAAAATTCTATTCACACCACCTATTTTACTATTTGCACCACCTATTTAATAGGTCAAACCACTTTATAGGTTGTGCTAATTAAAAAGTGCTATTTGCACCAACATTATTTAATGTAGTCAAAGACTAATATTTATTATTTATATATATATATATATATATATATATATATATATATATATATATATATATATATATATATATATATATATATATATATATATTACAATCAAATTATTAAAAAAAAAAAGAAAAGAAAAAAGTTAAACCCCTCGCCTTCTCTGGTGAGAAGGCGAGAGACTGCCTTCTCACCGGAGAGAAGGCGACCCCCTGGGTTGCCTTCTCGCCGGAGAAGGCAATCCAGTTGCCTTCTCCGATGAGAAGGCATGTCCATCGCCTTCTCACCGGAGAAGGCGAGGGTTTTTTTTTTTTTTTTTTTTTTTTTTAAATTTTAATGAATTAAATTCTGAATTAGTTAATTATTACTTAAATTTAATAAATGCAGATTTATTAAGGTGGTATAAATAGCATTTTGACTACCAATTAGGCTATTTACACCACCTATATATATTTATTATAAATTATCACATTTTTATATTTTCAATGTACTTTATATCTCATTTTAGTCAAAGAGGGGTGTAAATAGCAACACTTTCGTACTATAATTTTGAAAGGAGCGCGAGTAGAGGGTGTGGGGTCTGGTTGGGAAATTGTGTTTGTCGTTGACTCGTTGGCTATTCTCAATTCTCAATTTCGCCCTCCCCTCCCCTTGCTTGTAAGTTGTAGGTTGTAACCACCAATATGCAGTTATTTTTTTTTCTTCCTTGTATAAAAAGCCGCCATCTCTTCATCTCAAGCCTCAACTTCTCATAGTCCCCAATTTCCCTTCTTCAACTTACATTTCCGTCCTCTTTTCTCTTCTTCCCTTCTCTCTCTCTCTCTTTCAATATATACACAAGGTAATCCGTTTCTATACTTGTTGTATATGTAATATATGATATATGCTCTGTGCGCTACTCCTGTTCAGTTTAGCGGATAAGGTTGAAGTCCAGTCACCGGAGTTGTAAGTAGTTGTGCGCAGCCGCCACTTTTATCGGCTCGGGAGGAAGAGAAGGAGGAGGTAAAATGCATCAAAACCTCTGTTTCTTCGTTTTGTTTGTTACTACTGTTTGCATATTACTATTTGTCGTATTCCTGGTCGTGCTATGGAGGAATGGATTTCATCGACATTACTGTTTGTCTGTTTAGGGTTCAGATAATCGGAGCGGAAAAAGTAGAGATGAAATACGTGTTGGTTACCGGGGGAGTGGTGAGCGGGCTGGGAAAAGGAGTCACAGCTAGCAGTATCGGCCTCCTCCTTCAGGCCTGTGGACTCCGCGTCACTTCCATCAAGATTGGTCTCTCTCTCGCCCTTTCTCGTGTTTCTTTCCTTCGCCGGACACCACTACTACCTAAAAATGACTCTAGAACAAAGAAACAATGATTAAGAATGTTTCATCCTATTATTTCTTGCCGCCTCCTTTATCTGTTTCTTTATCTTTGTAAATTTCAGCCCCCTCTGTTTCATACAAGGAAAGGAGCTAACTTTAATGTTTTATTTGTCGGTATTATATACGGATAATTTTTTTTTTTTTTTTTGTTTTTTAAATTGTCATTTACTAGATTAAAATGGATTTAGCCTTCAAAAAATAAAATAAAAAAAAGGGGGAAAAGATTTTATGGAGTATCTTTTTCTTCTTCCTCTCCCTGTTCACAGCCTCCATTCATATCTTTTAAGGTCGCTGCTTTCTTTTGTTTGTCATCTTTGTAAAATCTCTTTTTTGACTTCAAGCAACTTGTTAAGATTTATGAATTTTCCAAACTTTAAATCACTTTTTTGTTTTGTTTTAAATTTATTCTTTTCCCTGTTGTTGCTTTTTCTCATCAAGAAAAATCATGATGATTTTTTTATTTATTAAACAAAGTTATTCTATATAATAGTAAGTTGTAATTGGGTCCATTCCTCCTTTTATTATTTTACAAATCGTTCCTGCACTGTAATTATACATGTGCCTCATTTTTCTCAGCAGTTAAACTTGGAGTAGTGGGATACCAGATGTTATGCAAAATATGGAATGAATCTATAACCTCTTATTTGTACTCACTCACATCTTTCTTTTCCTCTAAAAGGGGTTTCATTTCTACTTGCTCAAACTTAAAGCTATTGCTTAAGCATAATACAATGATTTGCATTGCTTTACAAACTTTAATATCTTGGCATTCCCCTTTTTACAGATCCATATTTGAATACCGATGCGGGAACAATGTCTCCCTTTGAGCATGGTGAAGTATTTGTCTTGGATGATGGTGGAGAGGTCAGAAGAGCATCTTTTGCACATAGTATTATTTATGTAATCTTAAGATGTTACTTGGGATGGTGCAAAGAAAATTAATATCCACATCCAAATTGGTTATTGACACAGCAGTCTTAAAAAAATCATGATATTTAATTACTCTTTCAAAATCATACAATATTTTGCATTCATTTATCTTCTTAATTATGTCATGGGTTAACACTGAAAGAGCTCGCGGATTGACTAAAAACCTATGCTTGCTAGATGTGTTTTGGTATCTAGTGACCTGAATTAACATTGGTGTTGGTTTTGAAGGTTGACCTTGATCTTGGAAACTATGAGCGATTCCTTGATATTAAGTTGACACGGGACAACAATATTACCACTGGGAAAATTTACCAAGTATGTATACTTGATGTTTAGTTTATCTATTAATGTTCTGCCAATGCTTCTTTAATTTCCTATATTTCTCGCCAGATAAATGATTAGAAACTATCTGTTTTACAGTCTGTGATTGATAAGGAGAGAAGAGGAGATTATTTGGGAAAAACTGTTCAGGTTTGTCTTTAATTTTTGGAGCATATGCTTTTGTGCCATAGCCATCTTTAGTATTCCTCATCTTTGTGTTCTTTGCCCCTTGCTCAGGTTGTCCCTCACATTACAGATGCCATTCAAGAATGGATTGAACGTGTTGCAGCCATCCCAGTTGATGGAAAAGACGGTCCAGCTGATGTTTGTGTCATAGAATTGGGTGGCACTATAGGTATGCTTACACTTATTCTTCACATGGGATATCATGGTTATATCTCTTTATTGATTGGTCTAAACTTTTGTTTGCCTTTGTGCAGGGGATATTGAATCAATGCCATTTATTGAAGCCTTAGGACAATTCTCATATCGCGTTGGTAAGATAATGTGTCCAAATTGGAACTCAGTGAAGAAGGTTTCTAGATTTGATTTGAATTGTAACTTGCATCAGTACTGAAAATATTTCGCTTCTTGCGGTTTTAGGTGCTGGGAACTTTTGTTTGGTACATGTCAGTCTTGTGCCAGTTTTGAATGTGGTTGGTGAGCAGGTAAATATCAAACTTAATTTATTTATTTATATCAAGTGAAATGGGTGGTGAGCATTATATTACATTCAAAATTTCAGAAAACAAAGCCAACCCAGCACAGTGTCAGGGGGTTGAGAAGCCTGGGATTAACACCAAATATTTTAGCATGCCGGAGCACAAAGGTCTCTCTCTCCTTCCCCTACCCATCCCAAATGCAAGTGATATATTTGTGCTTATATTTCACCTATATTTAGGACCGCCTACTGAAATTGATTTCCTACTTTCAGAAACTTGCTGAGGACGTCAAGGATAAAATTTCCAGATTTTGCCATGTTCCGGTATGATGTTTGTGAAATGTGATATCTTGGAATTTTGTTTTATGCACAGTTAACTTTATGGGACATTATTCTCTAAGGTTTCAATTCATTTCAATCACAGGTAGAAAATGTCGTTACTCTTTATGATGTTTCAAACATCTGGCATGTTCCTTTGCTTTTGAGAGTAAGTAGTTCCGGTCAATTTCATTCTTTTGTGATGCATATTCGCTTTTTGTTGCAACAATTATAAGGGTAGCTGTTTTTCATTGTTTAGGACCAGAAGGCACACGAAGCAATTTTGAGAGTGCTGAATCTTAAAGGGTCTGTCTAATATCTCAGTTCTTTTTATCTTGATTTTTCCCTTTTCTTTTATGGTTTGTCATCTTCCAAGACTCCATGAAATTAAAATTTTCATAATCATTTGTTATGTATCTTTACACTTAATTTTGTTATTTACGTTCTGCAGAGTTGTTAAAGAACCTGTCTTTGGAGAATGGATACGGAGGGCTGAACTTTGTGACAAGTTACATGACCCAGTAGGTTCCTTCACCTTAATTCTTGTAAAAATTCCACCTTTGTTTGGCTTTAGTTTTTCTGAATCCTGTCATTTGAGTACCAGGTTAGAGTTGCCATGGTTGGAAAATACACGGGACTTTCAGATTCTTACCTCTCTGTTCTGAAGGTGAACTTGCTTGATTGTCCTTTGTTCTCTTTTCTCATTTCTCACCCTTCATATATATGCAATTCTATGAATATAAAAATACTGGTTTCCACTTTTCAAATTAGTTTTTGTGGAACCAGTATTTTTATATATGCAATTCTATGATGCTCACTGTTTCTTTAACTTTCCTCTTTTATTAGCTATCTTAAAAGTTTAAAATTCACAAATATTTTGCAGGCTCTTTTGCATGCTTCTGTTGCTTGTCACAGGAAACTTTGTGTAGATTGGGTTCCAGCTGGAGACCTTGAAGACATCACTGCAGAAGAGGTATTTTCAGATTCCACTTCTTTTTTTGTGTTCAATTTTATTTTCTTTTTTTTTAAATACAGAATAATTTACCACCAGTTATTTTTTGCAGAATCCTGACAATTATGAGAGAGCTTGGAAGCTATTAAAGGTTTGTCTGAAAGATGTTGCCTACATCTTCCACTTATCTAAATGGCTTACGGTATTGAAAAAAAAATGGCTTATGGTCCCCACTGTTGGGTGTCGGCCGAGTTCAGCCCTGCTTGATTCGAGGCATGGCGTTGTGGCTTACCAGGAGGGATGTGGTTAAATAGTTAATGCCCACCTACTTGGTTTTAAGAAGGATATGGCAAACAGATAACCAAAGAACTCTGTGGTTAAGCATGCTTGACTTACAGTAACTTAACAAGTACCTTGTCATACAGGGTGCAGATGCTGTACTTGTTCCTGGAGGATTTGGCGACAGGGGAGTGGAGGGAAAAATACTTGCTGCTAAGTATGCTCGTCGAAACCGGATTCCTTACCTCGGAATATGTCTAGGAATGCAAATTGCTGTAATTGAGTTTGCTCGATCGGTTCTTGGTTTGAAAGATGCAAACAGCACAGAATTTGATCCAAATACCCCTAATCCATGTGTTATTTTTATGCCAGAGGTTAGGGTTTTTTTTAAAATTCTGTTATAGATGGTAACTGATGATATGATTTGGTAGCCTGGTGGTAAACTTTCTCATCTGCATACCATATTTGCAGGGTTCAAAAACCCATATGGGAGGGACTATGCGGCTTGGATCAAGGAGGACATATTTTCAGGATTTGGACTGCGTATCTGCAAAATTGTAAGTCTAGAATTTTTATATTCTTAACAGCTTAACCGTAGTCCGTAGGTAGGCAGTTTGCATGTTGACCTCAATGATAAATCTTTTTTTTTTTTTGCAGATATGGCAATAAGAACTTCATTGATGAAAGACATCGCCATAGATATGAGGTGTGCCATCATTCAGTTTAGTTATGCACAATCATTGCTAATTATAGGGCTGGCAACTCATCTAATGCTTTCGGTCTGAGTTTATTGGCTAAATAAATCATTCTCGTGTTACCTTAGGTGAACCCTGAGATGATAGAGCAGCTTGAAGATGCTGGTCTCCGTTTTACAGGCAAAGATGAAAGCGGTAGTCGCATGGAGGTATATTTCTTTCATATACAATCACAAAAACTTACCTCTTTGCCATGCCCCACTCTACCTAGTTCTGGTTTTTATTCGATACCCTGATCTTGGTTTGCAGATTATCGAGCTTCCTACTCATCCTTACTTCGTTGGTGCTCAATTTCACCCCGAGTTCCAATCAAGACCCGGAAAACCTTCTGCACTCTTCTTAGGTAGGCAATCATCTAAACTTGATCCCACCTGTTAGGATCAAGTACTTACCACAACACCAAAAGCTAAAGCTAATAGCAAAGACGCAATTTTATTTTCTTATACCGTCACACCACATATTTTCGAGAGCCAGGGTGCTGGACTTAGTTCTTTACCAGCCTCCGCCCAACAATCCACATCCCAAAATGCTCTTGTTGAGACTCGAACCTGACATGTCTCTGATACCACTTGTTAGGATCAAGCGTTTACTATTACGCCAAAAGCTATAGCTAGATTGATGCCCTTTACTGGCCTACGCCCAACACCACCTTTATGACCCTCCAAACAGCTTGAATCTATATTCTGGATTCTCGTTTCCCAGATTCTGAACTATTTGTGTTGTTATGGGATGCAGGGCTTATAGCAGCAGCATGTGGGCAACTGGACATTCTCCTAAAGAAGGATGTGCAAAAGGTGCATAGCATAAGCAGCAGCAATGGTAAGACCTTAATAAAGCACAAATACACAAATGGACCCATCCTTGCAAATGCATCTTTTGAAGTATACTGCAACGGGAATGGGATCCACGTCTAAAGGTCGAGTGAGATATAGATATTCTGCAGCAGCGCTACCATTTTCTATAGGCTGTTTTGTATGGATTTTGGTATTGAATTTGTATGTATAATTATGGTAGAGTGAGAGATATTCTGCAGCAGATTGGTTGCCTTGTTTAACTCATAGGGTAGCAGTGTAGAGCTGGATTCCGGTCTTTTTGTACGGAACAGGCCTCTTTTGGAAGATTGAAGATTAGTGCAGGCCTGATGAAGAAGGGGATTTAGATGATTACATCTAATCTGATTTACAATTTATATAGCTTGGGATTGTGATTAGGAAACCAAAAAAAAAAAAAAAAAAGGATTGCGTCCTCATAGCCCAGTGATGTCTGTATTACATTACATTACTACAAGGTAATGCTGCTAAAAAACCAATACATGTAATTGGATGAAGTCCTTTAGCAAGATGGTGCCTTTGACTGTTTTGTTGTGTATGAACCCAGTTAATTTCTTTCTACATCTATTTTTGTTTTGTTTTTAATCTTCAGTCACAAACATATTTATCTTAAAGTTGATTTATTGTAGAGATAATATGTAAAATAATCCCTCAACTATGTTATAAACTTATAACTTTTGAGTTGAAAAGAAGTGTGTATTCCAATGAAGTAACGCACTATAATACATGTGGATAATACAAATGTGTATTTACTTGATGGCAAGCAAAAAAATGTACAGGAATAATAATAATAATAATAATAATAATAATAGTAATAATAATAATAAGCGAGGGGTGGAGGGGGTGGTGTTGGCGGTTTGGTCCCTGCTTGCTAGTAAGGGCACCGACTGACGCAAATTGCAGTGGGCTAACATTGGCGGTTGCCCGCTGGTTGGGTAGTTCGTCGATGTCTAACGGACTATAGTAGCGTCAATTAGGCCATAGCGGGACTCAACCAAGCCTTGTCGATTCGTAGGTACTACGGCCTTGGTTCGTGATGTGGCAACTTGGAGGCTTTGCGAGAAAAAATTGACGACGGGTGGGGTACATGTGTGATGTGTAGCTGGAGTCTTTGAGCAGCATGGACCACTAGCTTACCATGGCCTTTGACATTATGATGCAATCACATCTGTTGGTCCCGATAGGGTGGTGAAAGTCTAGAGGGGGGGGGTGAATAGACTTTCAAGCTTTTTCAAAATAAATAAATAAATAACTCTTTGGTAACTTCAACTCTAAGTAACAAGTAAATAGAGTAAGTTTGAACTGCATAGCGGAATAATAGTATGTAAAGAGTTATGTCCAACCAATAATTTAAATGTGCATGTAAGATGGGTATAGATGATATGTAAAGTGACAGAGATATCTTGAATAAATAAAGGAGATGGTTCACTCACTATTTAACAATAATATTCAAGATTGTAAATAAATGTCGTGTCATGTCGACCGTGTAACGAACGTTACATGCAACACGTCAAACTTGCTTAGAATAATTCAATATTTAAGCTCAAGAAGTTTGAGTCACAGGCATACGTAAAAACACACTAAACCCGAATGATTAAGATTGACTGTGAATAGTAAACGGGTTAGTTGGATAAGATAGATAGATAGAGCAAATTATGTAAGTGCGGTATGTAAATGAGAGAGGCAATTTATAGTGGTTCGGAAGTGGCGTAATCTTCCTAGTCCACTTTACTCCATTCACTTCTAGGAGTAATTCACTATTTTCCACACACAGTTACAATAGTGAATAAGCGCTACACAAGCACTTCTTCCGAATGTCTTGCACACAGCTACACCCAACTCCGAGTGTCTCGCACACAGCTACAGTCAACTCCGAGTATTTCGCACACAGCTATACTCAACGCCAACTAAGTGTCTTGCACACAGCTACACTTAGCAACTACGAGTGTTTTGCACACAGCTACACTCACAAGAGTATTTTACACATAGTTATACTCTTCTAACAATTACAAATACAAAGGTAATTGTATCTCTCTCCAACTAGTTTTGAGACTATTCAGACAAAGTCTCTAAGAATATTTGAGCACTTGCACTTCTTATCTCGTGTGTATTCACTTGTTCGTATTTTTGTATTCACCTCTTTTTTCTCTTTGTCTTCAAGTCTTCATGACTTTTTATAGGCAATCAAATATATCCGTTGGAGTGGGATAATTTGATATTTGAAATTTGAATCTTCATAGCCTGATATTGTTGACAATAGTAGATCTTCAATTTTGATTTGATTGTCAACTTGCCTGACAAAATAATATTTTATCTCAACTTGATTTTCAAGTTGTTTCTTAAAATATTATTTTTGTTGTCAATTTGAATTTCCAACGAATCTTTGACAGAAGAATTTATTTCTAGGATAAGTTTTTATATTCATGTCTTCATAAATATTTTTTCCGTTCTGATCAATATCTTCAGGCAATTTTGGATTCTTGTGGCATGTGGGCTGATTCAAAATAAATTCCTTCGGATTTATCTATTTTCAGATCATCTTGCTTCTTTGCCACATTGTGCTCCTTTGACTTAGCCACTTCTTGCTTGTTTGACTTGAACATTGTGCTTCTGATTTGGTCACATTGTGCTCCTTTGGATACATCGTGCTTGTTCACATCGTGCTCCTTTGGAACATTGTGCTTGTCCGCATCGTGCTCCTTTAAGAACATTGTGCTTGTCCGCATCCTGCTCCTTTAAGAACATTGTGCTTGTCTGAATTCTTGACTTGTAAAAATTAAATCCTTGGGGGGAATCAATCTCAGGTATGATCATTTTGAATAAGGACTTCTACCATTTCATCGTTAAGCTCATCTAGTCATTTCTTGCAACGCCATTCCTTTATGCTTCTTTCTCGGATGAATACTTGTAGGACCAAAATTAATTTCCCAAATTAATTTTGTTCTTCATGTGGTAGATTTCCTTTTACTCGATATTCTGATTTATGATGCTTATACTAGAGACCTAAAAACTAAGGGGATCTATCGTACATTTGGCTCATCAAAACTTACAAAAATATTCCTATTTTATTTGTAAGTTTTTAGTTGTGTCGTAGACCATAAAGAAGAGAAAATTTTAATTTTGGTCATATGACTATAGGGGCTTTGTTAATTTCAGCACCCGACTTTCAAAAGTGTCAATTTAGTACCTTGACTATGCAATTTTTATCAATTTTGGTCATTCCGTTCAAATTGCCTGCCAAATTTCACTGGAAAATTTTAACAGTTAAAATAATGAGGGTATTTTAGTCATTTCACATCTCTTCCTTCTTCTCTGGCGAATTTATTTTTTCCGGCAAATCCGTCGCAACAGCACACCTTCCAAAGTATACTTATAGTCATTCGTCCAAGCCGTCACTTGCGATTTATTAGTGTTCAGATGACCAAAATTCCGGTTTAAAACATCTGACCGTTTGTGTAAGGGGTGCTTGAGATATCGGCGGACCTAGAAATCTTCGAATTGCACTTCTTTTTGTGCTCGTCCAGCGCAGTTCCTCTCAAAATTCCGGTTGAAAGCTTTTCCGGCCAAAAAAAGGCTTGATGGAAGAATAAAGCGAAATGCTAAAAGTGATGCTGGTGCCTATTTATTCTAAAACTTCTCTATATCAACATTATGCTAAAATTGATGTTGAATAAATACTTCTCTTTTTGGATAATGTTGAAAGCATCGCAGCGCACCTCATCCTCGGATTCGTCGAAAAAGATGAATTCGTCGGAGAAGAACGAAAGAGATGTGAAATGACTAAAATATCCTCATTATTTTAACTGTTAAAATTTTCCGGCAAAATTTCGCCGGCAATTTGAACGGAGTGACCAAAATTGATAAAAATTACATAGTCAAGGTACTAATTAAATTGACACTTTTGAAAGTCATGTGCTGAAATTAACAAAGCCCCTATAGTCATATGATCAAAATTGAAATTTTCTCCCATAAAGAAAAATTAAGGAATAATTCGAAAAAGAAAAATAGAGGAAGATGTATGCATATGGAAAATAGAAAAAGATGTATGCATACGATATGGATAATCTCATGACCTCAATCTCACGCCAAAATTTGGAGAAAGAAAAATCGAGACATAAAATTGGAGGAGGTGATGGCATTGCATGAAGATTTCTTGAAGATCAAGAATTTGATGAAGAAGAGGAGTACATCAAGAAGATTGGAATAGTAACCAATAATTCGTACGGATAGAATGGTTAAAAGCTTGATATTTAATTATTATAAGGACTTGGGTTCAAAGCTCACTCTTTATAGTTTTACAATTTAAATTTTAAAGGAGGCCAAATTGATTCTATGAGATGAAGTTTGGGCGAAAGTTCAAGAATTAATTAAGGGAAGAAATTTGAAATAATGAGATGAAGTTTGAGTTTGGGATGAAGTTGCATGAGATGAGATTGCAAAGCATGGGCTGAAGTTTGCAAGTCAATGAAGTTTGGGCGGAAGTTCAAGAATTAATTAAGAGAAGAAATTCGAAATAATGAGATGAAGTTTGAGTCTGGGATGAAGTTGCATGAGATGAGATTGCAAAGCATGTGCTGAAGTTTGCAAGTCAATGAAGTTTGGGCGGAAGTTCAAGAATTAATTAAGGGAAGAAATTTGAAATAATGAGATGAAGTTTGAGTTTGGGATGAAGTTGCATGAGATGAGATTGCAAAGCGTGGACTGAAGTTTGCAAGTCAATGAAGTTTGGGCGGAAGTTCAAGAATTAATTAAGAGAGGAAATTCGAAATAATGAGATGAAGTTTGAGTTTGGGATGAAGTTGCATGAGATGAGATTGCAAAGCATGTGCTGAAGTTTGCAAGTCAATGAAGTTTGGGCGGAAGTTCAAGAATTAATTAAGGGAAGAAATTTGAAATAATGAGATGAAGTTTGAGTTTGGGATGAAGTTGCATGAGATTAGATTGCAATGGGATGAAGTTTGCAATGTGATGAGATTGCAAAACATGGGCTGAAGTTTGCAAGTCAAAGAAGATCAGTCAGAGGGCTTAATTTTTGCAATCAGATGAGATTGTAAAGCATGGGCTGAAGTTTGCAGGTCAAAGAAGATCAGTCAAAGGGCTTAAGTTTCTGAGATTGAAAGTCTAGATTCCTTGGGCTGAGATTTCCTTACAAGATTGAGATCAGAATTAATTCATGGGATTCAATTGGAGATGAAGTGCAAAGATCCTATTGGTTGAAGGAATTAATTCAGAGGTAATTCATGGGATTTGGAAAACAAAATCACATATCCTAAATCACTCAGGATTTTGCGCAGTATCAAGATAGATTCAGCTTTACTCCCAAGTCAACTCAAACACATCTGTAGACTCAGGAGTAGGGGGGACTGGTGACAGGATAATAGGGCTGGCACCCGACTCGGATCATAAGTGGGCATCTAACCCGGTGCCATACTTGACCCGGCACCACATGGAAACCCAACGGACAGAACTCCAACGGACAGAATTCCAACAGGTGTCACCTTTATTGCCATTGAAGCCACCATTGATAAGAGAGAATTAAAGGCTTAGCTCCCCATTTATGTCCCATGTTGTTACCGTTAGCACCCTTGTATAAGTAGATGCTCCCCTCAGCTTGGGAGGGGACGTTCAAGATACTGTACGGAAACACAAAGCAAATACTATTGTCACTTATTAGTCTCATAACAATATTCCAGGTAACATATTTACCGTCATTCAGAGTAATGGTGCTAGCACCCGACCCGGATCACCAACAGACATCTAACTTGACACCTAGTGGAATTCCATCAGGCAGAACTCCAACGGGCAGAACACCAACGGGTGGAAACATTATGGTCATTCATTACATTGAAGGGAGAGAATTAAAGCCTCAACGCCTCATTCATGACTCTTCATGTTATTGCCGTTAGCCTCAGCTCCCCAATTATGACTCTTCATGTTGTTACCGTTATTTTTTTTCTTTGTGGAGTTTTCTCTCTGAGTGTCTCTCAGTGTCTTTTCTATTCCCTACCTAGGGTTTTCTTATGTCTGGACAGGATTTCCTGGTTGTTTTCTCACAAGCAACAATGGAAACGGGAAGTTCAAGTGGTCTGGCAAAGGCGTATGAGGCCTTGACTCTGGCAGATGATGAAGAGGGCGTCATAGTGGAGGTCGAAGATGTGGAGGTTGAGGCACCGCCTCCTCCTGACTACCGTTTTGCGGTGGTTGGACGGGTAGTAACTGACCGCACCATAAAGTTTGTGGTCTTCCGGGATGTAGTGGCAAAAGCTTGGAAGCCAGTGAAGGGAGTCCACATCACGGAACTGGGCTCTGGGAGGTTTCTGTTTACCTTTTTCCATGAAGGGGACATTGATCGGGTTATGACAGATGGTCCTTGAACCTTCGATAAGAATTTGGTCGTCATGCGAAGGCTTGTGCCTGGTGATGATCCAGCAACGGTGGAGCTGGATGAATCGTTGTTTTGGATTCAGGTCCATAATTTACCTACGGGATTCATGTCTGAGCGGGTGGCGAGAGTTGTAGGGGATTCGGTTGGTGCTTTTGAAGCGGCGGATCCTAGGAATTTCGATGGTGGGAGGAAAAGTTTTATGAGAGTGCGAGTGAAACTCCAGATCAAGAAGCCTTTGAAACCGAGGATGAAGATGAAGAAACCAGGCGGGGAGTGGTTCTGGGTTGATCTCCGGTATGAGAGGCTGCCGTCTTTCTGTTTCCATTGTGGAATTATTGGCCACGGGGATAGGTTCTGCCCAAAGGCATTTGAGAAGGCTGAGGTGGGGAGAGAGAAACCTTTTGGAGTGTGGTTATAAGGGCAGGTGGCAAGAAGGTGGCACCACCACTGCCGGAAAACAAGTGGCTGGTAATGGACCCATCGACCGGAGGCTTGAAGTCGGACCCTCCGGTGGACTCCTCTGTAACGGTCCAGCATGATAAGTCACTTAATGTGCCTTTAAGGAAGGATAATGGGGTTACGACTGAGACTAATGAGAGAGATAAATCAGCAAGGAATAATGGGGGGACTTTAATGCACGATATAAATGACGACAGTGAGAATGAGGGTGTAGTAGTGGTAGAGCAAAAGAGACGAAGGGTTGAAGGTGATACGTCCATACCAATGCATATTGAGGGTCAGTTTGTTACTGCAACTGATGAGGTGGGTCTTGGAATCCAGGCCCACCGGGCCCAATGAGTTACCTAAGTTGGAACTGCCGTGGGCTTGGAAACCCATTGGCAGTTCACGTATTGTTAGGTTTTGTTACCCAACACAAACCTAACATTGTATTTCTTTCAGAGACGTTGAGTAGTGTGGAGAGGATGGAAAAGGTACGAGTAAAATTAAAGTTCGACTCTTGTTTCGCGATGGGGGCTCAGGGCCGAAGTGGGGGCCTTGCCCTACTGTGGAATGGAGGTCTTGACGTGGAAGTTGTGGGCTATTCAAATCACTACATAGATACAGTCGTGAAGTCTGGGAATTCAACTCCAAACTGGCGCTTCACTGGGTATTATGGAAGCCCTAAGAGACACAGGAGGCGGGGTTCTTGGGATCTTCTTAGGTACCTTTCCTCTATTAACACTCTTCCATGGGTGATTATGGGGGACTTTCACGATATCATGTGCGCGAGTGAAAAGGTGGGGGCGATTCCTCAACCTGTTTGGTTGATGAAGGGGTTTAGCGAGGCGGTGAGAGAGAGTGGGCTGACTGATTTCAACTTTCAGGGTTGCCAGCTTACGCGGGAGAGGGGGAGGGGCACTGACCGCTGGGTTCAGGAGAAGCTGGACCGTATTCTGGTCTCGGGGGTGTGGAGAGATGTGTTTGGGAATGCTAGAGCCTGGTCATTGGAGGGTAGTTGCAGCGATCACATGCCTTTGCTATTGCAACTGAATAGGCAAAGGGAGAGAGGCTATCGTCGGAGGCAGATGTATGAAAATGCTTGGGGGAGTGATCCTGAGTGTAGACAGGTTGTGTCATCTACCTGGGAGAGGTTGAGGGAGAGTGATAGAGTTGGTAGGCTGGCGGGATGTTGCGCTGCTGTGTGGCGGTGGGGGAGAGGGAGCCTGAGCGAGGATGAGAGGGAGATTAGGCGTTGCAAGCAGCAGATGGGTAGGCTGCGGTTGAGTTGGAACAGGGAGGATGCTTGGGAATTTAGTAGGGTGCAGCAGCGCTATCTAACGTTAATTGCAAACCAGAGCGATAGATGGCGCCAACGTGCGAAGGAGAATTGGTATACAGGTGGCGATATTAAGAGCCGTTATTTCCATAACTCTGTTAATAATCGTAGGCGGAGGAATTTTATTTCGGGGTTGAGGGATGAAGGCGGGTTAGTTACTCGCGAAAGGGGTATGGGGGAAATAGCAGTGGCATATTTTGGCTCTTTATTTAGGGCAGGGGGGGGGGGGTTGAGATGAGACCAGCACTGGAGTTTGTGGAGAGGAGAGTTACGGATATCCAGAATGATAAGTTGCTGGAGCCAATTTCCTATGGCGAGGTCCGAGCAGCTTTGTTCGCTATGCACCCCGACAAGTCCCTGGGACCCGACGGTCTTTCTCCGGCTTTCTTTCAGATTCACTGGGATATTGTGGGCGAAGAGGTAGTCTCTTTCTGTCAGTCCTTTTTACACAATGGTCACTTACCTCAGTTTGTTAATAGCACTCATATTGTGTTAATACCTAAGAAAAAACATGCTGAGTTGATGTCCGATTTCCGCCCAATTTCTTTATGTAATGTGTTGTATCGTATCCTGGGGAAATTTTTAGCTAACCGGTTTAGGCCTCTACTTGATTCCATTATCTCTTGTGCCCAAAGTGCGTTTATTCCGGGGTAGGTCCATCATAGATAATGTGTTACTTGCTTATGAGTCTGCCCATGCTTTGAATAGGAGTCAGGGAAATGGGGGGGGGGGGGGGGGGGGGGGGGGGTTGTGCGGCTCTAAAAGTGGACATGAGTAAGGCATATGATAGAGTTGAATGGGGGTTTTTGGGGGCAGTCCTTGATAAATTGGGTTTCAGTTCGACTTGGGTAAATTTAATGCACAATTGTGTCTCCACTGTCTCTTATTCTGTGTTGGTGAATGGGAAGGAATGGGGTCCTATTATTCCTGCTAGGGTGTTGCGTCAGGGTGATCCCTTATCTCCGTGTCTCTTTATAATAGTTGCTGAAAGTTTGAGTGCTATGTTACGAGCCCGAGAGGTGGACAATGCGTTACATGGGGTCCGTGTGTCGAGAAATGCTCCCCCAATTTCTCACTTATTTTTTGCTGACGACTGTCTATTTTTCTTTCGGGCAAACAGCTTTGAGGCCGAACACATAAAATGGATTTTGGGTGTTTATGGTTGATGCGTAGTATATTTGCAAACAAATAATTCTCGGAGTACGAGTTATCGATCCACAGGGAAGTGGTTGTATCAAGCACTAGTTACTAACTTATTCACTAGAGCTAATCCTAACAATTACTTAGATGATTGATTGGCATAAAATAAATAAAATAAAACAGAGGTTCAGGATTTTGAAAACAATTAGAGAGAAGTTGAGATTCATGGGATTCAAGTATTTAATCACCTAGTGCCAATTATCGTTTGCAATATTTAGTTTGGAATTAAGATTTGTGTGGGAATGCAAAGTGGAATCGAATTACTCCCGTAATCTCTATTTCTAGTGAATTTCCACTCCCATGGCTTAAACACCCAATAAGATCAAAGATCAGCATTCAATTATTCCTAATTACTACCATCTCCCGATTGGCAACAATCTAGAATAAACTTCCCCTAATAAGTTCCCATTTCCCAAGGACCAACCATTAGGTGCAATCGTGTGTGCCCTAATTTATGCCCCAACTCCCATTGGTGACACAAACATGGCTATGAAGCTAGTAACTATGGCCATTAATTACAAGCATCAAACAATTATTATCACGATTGCAACACAAGTATTAAACCCAAATAATAATATATTAAAGAAACTGAGAGCTCAGGCACATAGGTTCATAAACACTTTTACCCAAGAATCTCTAAAGAATTTAGCCAAGCATGACTAAATTATACATAGCAAATATAAATAAAGAATTACAAATCATCAAAAGAGTACAAGAATTAACCAGACGATTTTCCCAAATCTCCCTAGTCTTCTTCTTGCTTTCCAAGACAACTTGTGGCTCTTGATTTCTCTCCTTCTTGTCTCCAAGAATCTCTGAATTCTCTCGGTCCCCGGTTTCCCATTAGGGTTGAGGAAGGAGGGATTTTATAGTGGGTACAAAGTTGAGATTAAATAGGAATCTTGTACCAAATTGGACTCAAATTCTAATTCCTATATTTAAATAAAGAAATTGTCGTCTTTAATGATATTTAAAATTTGGAAGATTCCTTGAATTGCTAACTTTTAATATGGAGATATGATCCTTGAAATCCGCGCAATTGATATTAGGAAAAGAGATCTCGCGCTTGTATTGAATTTTGCCCAGCTGCGCCACTTTAGGCGTCTGTTTTTATCCCAGAAACAGACGCATATTCGACGCGTCGAGAATTTTCTCCACGCATCGAGACTTCCTGTGCGCGAATTAATTAGCTACTGGAAAATTTCGACGTGTCGAGCCCTTGGCTCGACGCGTCGAGTCCACTGGGCCCCGAACTCATCCAAAATTGCTCCAAACTCATCCTTGAACTCCCCTTGATCATATCTTTGACCTAAAATGGTTCAAAAACACTAACAAACATCGTAAAATATTCAAAACAAGTGCGAACCATAATTAAATGATAATAGCAAGGAAAACATGTATTAAATAAGCAAAATTAAAGAGCTTAATTACTGTGATGATTCAAAATAACCATAAAAACAAGCACAGATGTGATAACATCAATGGTCAAGCGAGTGGTTAGCTCGTGAACTTGGAGAAAACCTCTATTATTTTTGGGAGACAGGTGTAGAGGGAGGATAAGGAGGCTGTTTGTGAAGTGTTGGGGGTTCACGAACAGCAAGGTCATGGGAGATATTTGGGTTTGCCTGAGCTCGTGGGGCGTAGGAAGAGGGAGATTTTGGGTTTTATCCGTGAGAAGATAAGGGGAAAAATTATGCATTGGGGCAACCGGTATCTCTCTAGGGCGGGACGGGAAGTGCTACTAAAAATCGTTCTACAAAGTGTTCCCAATTATGCAATGAACGTCTTTTTATTACCAAAAACCCTTTGTGTTGAGATTGAGAGGCTAATGAACTCTTATTGGTGGGGGTGTGAGAGGCGAGGGAGCTCGGGTATTCGATGGAGTACATGGGGGGATCTTTGTAAGCCAAAACGGTTTGGGGGTTTGGGTTTTAGGTTAGTCCGTGAAGTGAATATGGCCATGCTGGGGAAACAAGGGTGGAAGTTTTTAGCTTATCCAAATGCTTTGGTATCTAGGATTTTTAAGGCTAAATATTTCCCTACTTGTTCTTTTTTGGATGCTAGCTTGGGGTCCAATCCCTCATTTGTTTGGGCAAGTATTCGGGCATCTCAGGATGTCTTACGGGCGGGGGCGAGAATGAGGGTGGGTGAGGGCTCCCTAATCAATGTATGGGGGGATCCTTGGCTTCCGGATGAGCAAAACCCGTATATTCAAACCTTGAAACCAGATTATTTGGGAAACCCTAGGGTACAGTCTCTTTTCACCATTGATACCGAGGGGTGGGATGTAGAGTTGGTATAAGATATCTTCCTGCCAAGAGATGCAAGGCTTATTTTGAGCTTGCCAATTTCTTCAAATCCTTGGGGGGGGGGGGGGGGGGGGGAACTCGTGGTATTGGAGGGGAAAATGCATGGAATGTACTCAGTAAAAAGTGCCTATAGAATGTTAACAAGGGAATGGGGTGGTGAGGGAGCAGTGAGTTGGGGGGGAATGTGGAGTATGGATGTACATCCAAAAATCAAGTTTTTTTTCTGGGCTATGTGTACCAATAGATTGCCTACTAAAGACAAGTTGGTAATGAAGCAGGTTGCTTGTGATCCCCTCTGTCCTATGTGCGGTATGGGGCCAGAATCTACGCTACACCTCTTCGCAAATTGTCCTTTTGTTCATGCCTGTTGGGGGGAGGTGAATAGCTCATGGCGGCTGGAGCATGTGGATTCACTAGCAGATTGGATAGCCATTATGTGGAATGAGTTGGACAAGGAGAAATTAGCTGAAGTCATCACGGTGTGTTGGGCGCTATGGGAAAATCGAAACAAAATGGTTTTTCAGGAGCAATGTATAGATCCAAAGAATATGGTTGCTCATTCTCTGCTTTATGTCAACGACTGGCTCCGAGTGCAAGCTAAGCGGTAGTTACTCCCAACCCAAACGAATGTGATGCAAGCCCCACCGAGATGGCAGCCTCCTCGGTTTCTTGAAGTTAAATGTAGACGCTGCCATGGATTTTGAGAGACAAAAAATGGGAATTGGATGAGCAGTAAGAGATGAGGGTGGTCGGGTGGTAAGCGTAGGATGGAATAAGGTTGAGGGCCTTCACACGGTGCGGGAAGCCGAGGCTGTAGGGGTGCGAGAGGTGTTGAGCTGGGTTAAGCAGAAGGGGTGGTCTCATGTGGTTATCGAAACAGACGCTAAGTTGGTAACAACAGCTGTGGAAGGAGGCTTGATTGCTGCTCCCTTTGGGTTGATTGTGGATGACATTAGATTGCTGTTAAACCAGCTATGCATGGTTACACTTCAGTTTGTTAAGAGGGATGCAAATGCTTTGGCGCATGTGATTGCTAGAAACGCATTAGAATACCCTTTGCTGGGCAGAATTGTTTATACTGAATGCATCCCTATTTTCATTTCATGTAATGCTGGTTTGGATTGTTTACCTTATTAATATACTGGTTTGTTCTGTTGTTCAAAATGTTGTTACCGTTAGGACCTAGCATAAATAGAACTCCCCTCAGCTAGCAAGGGAGACACAATATTCTGTACTGAAAAGACTGAACACTTAGCAATACAATTATCTCAGTTCACTTATACAACTATTGTTACTCATTTACACAAAATAATATTATCCGGTAACATATTTACTGTCAGTGATAAATATGACGATTGTCCACACTTGTTGGTAAATAGAGAAAAAAAAAACTTGAACTTCTTAGCATTTTCTATATATTGACTTTAAAGCATTATCAACACTAAACTAATTTTTTGTTCAGATTGCAGCATTAAAAGATTACCTTAAAGCGGAATGTTACTCCTTATATGTGAGTTTGCAAAATGTTGAAATAGAGTTCCTTAAGTTGGACTGAGGAAACACTGAAAATGTCACCGATTGTGGCATATATGTACTCAGACATATGGAGACATACCAATGGACTCTAAACAATTGGCAGCCAGGATTCAAAAAGAACATGCGCATGAATGTAAGAGTAAAATAAATATATTACTTTCAAAATACATTTAAAAAATGCAGAAAGCTAATTATTTAATGTTCTTTATTTACAGGCAAGCTTCATATATGAATTGAGAGCGAAATATGCTGTCAATCTCATCAGGTGGAGGATGAACACGGTTAGAGGGCAGGTTCTAAAATAGGCCAAGGGTGTCTCCAGGAAGAAATGAATGAACAGAGATCTTTGACATGTTGACTGTATTCTGTGAATGTGAAACTTTGTGTGTTCTATATTAACAATGTGACTTGATATCTGTGAATGCATGACACTAAAAGTGAATACCAATTTTTGCACTTCTGATCTATGCAATTCTATTTTTTTGCACATATCAATTATCAAGTCCAGAATTGCATGACTACACATTCATAACTTCATAACTATATATCCATAATTGCATAACTACAGATCCATAAGTTAATAACTGTACATCCATAATTGCATAACTACAAATCCATAACTATATAACTATACATCTAGAATTTCGTAACTACAAATCCATCACTATGAAAACTACACATCCAGAGTTGCATAACTACATATCCATAATTGCATAACTATAAATCCATAATTGCATAACTATAAATCCAGAATTGCAAAACTAAACATCCATAATTGCATAACTATAAATCCGTAATTGCATAACTACAATTCCATAATTGCTAGACTACACATCCATAATTGAAAAACTACACATCCATAATTGCATAACTATAAATCCATAATTGCAAAACTACACATCCAGAATTACAGAACTATAAATCCAAATTGCATAAGTTCAATGATAACAACTTGTATTAACACACTCTCAATCTACACCTACATTGTCATCTAAACCCTTGCTAAACTGAACAAACTCTGAACTCGAAGAACTTGGATGTACGAGGTATCCATCCCCAGCAAGCTTGGATATGCCTTCCAAAACCAAAGATTGAACGACACCCTTCGTACTCAAAGCAACTTTATTTGTGGCACTCCTCCTCCCCCTTGCAAGACTGTACTTCTTTTCAATAACACTACTCCTCCTTTTATTACGCTCACCTTTCAATCTCCGGCTTGAGAGATTTTGTACACCAACACTTGAAGATGAAACACCGCCCTCTTCAATATGCACATACCCAATCTCAGCTTCAACCTTTTTCTTTGCATCCTCAACAACTTCATCGCAAAATTTCCTAGCTACGCTACCTATCTTGACTAGAAACAATCAATCTTTAAAATTTCCTACTAATATCAAAAACCCAAATTGAAGGAGGGGCACCAACATTATAAACCATAGAAGCAATGCCCACATTCCTACCATCAATAACCTTTTTATTCCATCTTTTTCAGGATATATTTGTCAGGGATACTAGAAACACAATGCACATTAAGAATACGTAGACAATGACAGCATAGAATTCCTAACTCAGACATCAACTTGCAACTGCAAGAAATGTCCAGGTTGGCTGGGTTGAAAGTAACTTCATGCCTTATAATGTCTATATCTGGCCACCACACGTGATACTTGTGCTGACAACCATCATTCAACACCATTTCTTGATAACAAGCAGTGTCTTTCATAAATTGTTCCTCAAAAAAAAAATATACCTCAATAGTATATACCTCTCTAGCATGTGAAAGAAGTTTCACATGCTCCATCATCATAGCGGGTACCCCTTGAGCACAACGAAAATCTTCACCATTCTCTTTACTTCTCCATTCAGAAATTACACTTACAAACGATGAATAGAAATCATAAAGACCAGCAATCTTAGACAGCATTCTAGAAATCGAATGATTTGTAGTTTCACTCTTTTGCAACGATAAAATGCCCCCAGAAAAATAATCATTGTTAAATGCTGGACACCACTTCTCCCTACAATCATTAAGCTTTTCTAACCAAGTATTCTTGTGACACTTATAGTCAGTCACCAACCTGAAAATGATAAGACACAAGAACTGATGTTTATGAAACAGAATAAAAACAAGATCACCACATCTCTAACACATGTTCAGAACTATATTGCTATATATCCATAATTGTTATACAATACATCCATAATTGATAGACTATACATCCATAATTCATATACTACATGTTCAGAAATCTACTGTTATATATCCATAATTGTTATACTATACATCCATAATTGATAGACTATACATCCATAATTCATATACTACATGTTCAGGTCCCAACAGCAAGTTCCAATGCTATACAACCATAATTGGTAGACTATACATCCATAATTCATATACTATATCATCAGAAAGCATATATATATATATATATATATATATATATATATATATATATATATATATATATATATATATATATATATATATGCAATAAATATGCAATGTAATCCAGTAAAAATCATTAATTACTAATATACCTTGTCCAATAAAATTCAAACTCAGCTTCAGTCTATGTGTATTTCAACACATAGTTAAACATATCCGAGAAATCTTTATTATTCCTTAACGTCTTGATATGCTTCTTTGAATTCTCACCAATATGCCATGTGCAAAGACGATGACATGATGTTGGAAACACTTGAGAAATAGCAGCAGTCATGGCTGCACATTGATTTATCATGATAGATTATGGACACTTGTCACCCATAGATCTTAAAAACGCTCTAAACAACAACATAAATGATTCTATCCTCTCGTTTGTCAAAAACCCGCATCCAAATATTACGTTCATGCAATGGTGATTCATCCCTATGAAAGCACCACAAATCATATCATATTTGTTGGTGCGATATGTCGTATCATGCACTAACAAATCCACAAACACCTCATAATCTCGTCTCATTTGACCATCCCTCCAAAAAAATTACACAATCTTGCATCCGAATCAAGTTCAAAATCAAAGAAAAAATCAGACTCCGTAGACTGCATCCCCCTAAATATTTCAATTAAAGAGTTAGAATCAGTTCCATCCAATCGCTTAAATGTATCAGCAGCCAATAAATTATAAGCATCTCTATTGGTGAAACCAACTAATGGAGACCCCCCTGCTTGATGTTTCGTGAACCTAATACCATCCGCAAGTGCAACCCCATTGTCCTTCAAACCTTGTAAATATAAGAGTTGATTATCTCCCACACTTCTATGTGAACGAAGTAGATGACTCTTGTTGAACACACATAACTCATGATTGTGCACTTTCTCATGTTTTATAACTGTCCACAACCCATCATCACCCACATCAAACTGAACAAAAATGCACCACACCATGTCCTTGTGTCAATTTTTGAATAAGCCTTAACTCCACTCTTTGCCTTATAACCAGCCTTAGAACAAGAAAACTTCTTCATTTGAATTGTGTTAGTAGATCCCTTGTAACGTTGATGACCCTTCCTCACACTAACACCAACTTTATATGCATAATTGTTATACAACTCAAAAGCTTCATCAACATTACTTACTACAGTACCAACCAAATCTTAATCAATTGCAAATATACCAAAATAATAACCATTTCCACTAAGATATAATTCCTAACCAGAATTTACTAAATAAATGTGAAAAACTAGAAATAAACCTGGAATTGAAGAAGATCCATCAATGTCTAAATCTGCTTGGTCTGAACTTAACGAAACATCCACAACACCTTCACTAACTGCATTACATAAATGTTGTGAATATTATTTCATACAGTTCATCAAACATAGCAAAAACATAGTACCTACAAATTCTGAATATACTGTTATGCAATTCTGGATATATAGCTATACTATTCTGGATATATAGTTATGATATTCTGGATACGCATATGCAAAGAATTGTCAAAACAGAGTACCAACGAATTCTGAATATATAGTTATGCAATTCTGGATATGTAGTTATGTAATTATGGATGTGTAGTTATGCAATTCTGGATGTGTAGATATGCAAATAATTGTCAAAACAGAGTACCCACGAATTCTGAATATATAGTTATGCAATTCTCGATATGTAGTTATAAAATTATGGATGTGTAGTTATGCAATTCTGGATGTGTAGATATAAAATTATGAATTTTTAGTTACGCAATTCTGGATTCATGGTTATACAATTATGGATATATATATATATTTTTTTTTTGAAAATACAATTATGGATATATAGTTATGCAATTATGTATAAATAGTTACAAAACCACCAAACTCGTATTCATTGTGCCCTACAATCAAACTAAATTGCAGATTCTAAACACACAAATCAATCAAACATACTGCTAACATCAAATTTATCGCAATATATCTCAAAACCATAAAAGTCGCAGAGGAACAAATGGAAAAACAATCGCAAAATACAAATCACCTGGAATCGAATGCACACCATCAACCGCTGAATCTGTCTGATCTGTTGCCTCCTCCATCTAACATTCAATATACGCAACTGTGAATGCGATTACGATTGCAAATAATTTGAATGCGAATTTCACAATGCCTAACTGTCAAAAACGGATATGGAAACTTGAATAGCGAAAGGAAACTTGTATAGCTAAAGGAGAAAAACGCCATTAACGGAATTTTTTTTTTTTTTTAACAGACTGGCTGCTGCAACATTACCCCAAAACGACGTCGTTTGCATCCGTATGCACGGCATAATTTGCGAAGTTTCCTGAAGCCAAAACTTTCAGGGGGTGTTTGGTTAGTGGCTGATCAGCTAATTTTTGACTGATTTGACCATTTTCAGCTGTTTGACTTAGTCAATCAGCTGGAATGAGTGTTTGGTTAATAGCTTTTTCCTTCCGCTGATTCATCCCAATAAGCTGATTTTAGAAAATCTGGGTGTAGCAGCGGATCAACTTCTCCCACACGTTACGTGAAGGTAACAAATTAAAAGTGCTAATCGGCTGCCAAATTTGGGGTACGACTGTTCTCGATCAACCACCTAAGGATTTGGAGAATCTGCTCTTTGCTCATGTTCGTGGTGCTTTAGTCCACACAAGTAGTTTTTTCTTTATCCCCCTTTTCACGGATCTTCTTCTACCAAAAAAAAAAAAAAAAGGAGAAGATTGAGTTAATTATGATAATTATCTATTGACTATATATTAACATTTATCAATTTTTATCCTCCACTTTCAATAGGATCATAAGTAGTACATTGACTATTGATTTTGTTTTATATTTAGTCCTCTGGTTAATTTTCTTTAGTAAAACTTAAATTTAAGGGTAAAATCTAAAAATTGACTTGTTATTAAGATGACCAAATTTAGCTCATAAAATTCATACACTAAATTCATCATTAGTATGAATGTGAAGAACAATTTGATGCATAAGTCAATTTTGATAAATCTAATGATAAGTTTATGCCCCAAATTTGAGGCGATTATATCGTTTGTTTAAAGACCTTAAATATGCAAATCTAGAGAGACGATTCTACTAGCTAATTTTACATTCTTACCCTTAAATTTAATAACAAATATTTAAGCAAATGACAAAATCAGTAGTCAATGAATCAATTATAATCAAATTGAAAATTGATGATAAAAATCGATAAATGTTGATAGTTAAAGGGTCGAAATTAATGATCATTACTATCTTTTATAGAAAAAAAAATGTAAAATGTATTTAAATCATATTATTATTATTATTATTATATATTTATATATTTATATAGGAAATTAAAATCATATAATACTATTTATTTATTTTTTCTGAAAGGATAATACTATTTATTTTAGAATTACAAATTATTAATTGAATATTATTACGGAGTACAACTTAAAAAATAAATCTATTAATTAACTTTTTTCCCAAAAGCTATATTACATACCGTTTCATCAATAGATTATTCTTTTTATTTTCAGCAATTTATTTACCAAATACTTCTAATTTTTAATTTACCAACTTTCAAATACCTTTTTCAACTAAATTAAACAAAGCCAATGTCTATCTATTACTGATTTAGAAGTGTTACAAAGGATGCTCTCATTTGAAACCAAAATGTTCATATATTACCATCATATAGTGATATGATCCTACATCGGCTCCACAAGAGATTGTGGAGTAAAGTTGATTTCAAACCTATCAAATACATTGATTTAAAAATGCACTTTTTATTTATAGTCCACACAGCTATCTGAATC